TTTGAGTTGGAGTCTCACTCTGTCATCCAGACTGGAGTACAGTGGCACGCTCATGGCCACCCTAGCATCAACCTGCTGGGCTCCAGCGATCCTTCCACCTCAGCCTTCCAAGTAGCCAGAACTACAGTCATGTGCTACCACACCTGGCTAATTGTTTTATTTATTGTAGAGATGAGTTCTTGCCACGTTGCCGGGACTGGTCTTGAACCCGCATGCTCAGGCAATCCACTTGCCTCGGCCTTCCAAAATGCTGGGATTAGAGGTTGAGCTACTGAGCCCGGTCAACATGATCATTTTAAATGTATTCATCCACCTATGTACAACCCCCCACACACTCTCAAGCAAAAGCCCAAGTCCATCTTCACAGGTAGGAAAAACTAGGTCAAGGGTTCAAGGGTCATGTGAACCACGCAGGGTCTTTCTGCTGATGCAGTATCAGGGGCACTGCCAGTGTCTGATGAGTCCTGGAAGAAAAGTGATGCTGCCCTATCTGGAGCAGCTTCATGATTGGGGGGGGGTGTGCAGGCCCTGGAGAATGGCTGTGGGTGATGGGGACAGGGGACAGTGGAGAAAGAACTGTTGCAGGAATTTTTAACTCCATCATCAGATTAAACCAGCAACCTTGGGTTCTTGTCCCACGACCAAGAAGATTAAGGAACGTGAACACCAAAAGGATGAGTGAAAGAAGGAGTTTATTAAGCAACAAAGTTCTCCAGAAAGAGAGGGGGCCCAAAATGTGTTACCTGGTGCTAGGAGGTTTTTAGCAATTTTTATCTTATCTTTTCTGAGGGTGTTTCTCTCATTTACATCTCATCCGCCCCTTACTTCCTGAGACCCAATTCTTATTGTGCATGCAGGTCCTTGACCAAACTTACTACATCTCGAATATTACTCATAAGTACCACAGAAAAGCCCATGGGGGAGGGGGACCTCAATGCTATGCTATGTTCATGATATTATAATAAGCCAAGGTCAAGTTAGGACACTTAGTTAAGCTACGGCGCCTGCGTTTAAGCAGCAAAAAGTCCCTTTTAACAGTACATCCTGGGTTGATAGGATGTTCTTAACCACATTAACCATACTCTCAGCCAACAATTATGTAATGGGGGTGATACAGGGGGCGTTCCTGCCGGTGTGCTAAGTCTCCTCCTCACTGTCTGGCTAACCAACTTCTATGTCCTCTCTCGGAACCAGCACAAGCAAGCACAGAGGCATGAGGAAGAAAACAGCAAGGAGAGTTGGGGAAAGATGCGAGGGCAAGTGCCTGCCTGTGGTGGAAGAGAGGAGGGTGGAGAGCTGGGAGGGTTGTCATCTTGATGAGGATAAGTTGTGAATGCCTTGCTTGGCCTCAGTCGGTGCATCGTGGGAGCCAGCGTAAGCTTCCAAGCACAGATTAATGTGACCTGGGATGCTGCACATTCCAAAGTATAGTGCTTTGGTATGCTGAGTACTTTGAACTAAAGGACACCAGAAGTTCTCAGAAGCAGCCTCAGAACCAAGGTCTTCCTGACCCTCTCCTGCCCTCCTGTCTTTTCTTGTTCATCCTCCCCCAGAGTGAGTCACAGAAACCAGGATTCCTCTTCCCCAAGGTGGGTCACAGAAACTAGAACTCCTCTCCCCCAAAGCAAGTCATGAAGCCTAGAAATATTGCTCTAACCTCCTCCTGGCTTTCTGTCTAGGAGCAGACCTTTCAGAAATTCTCTGACCAACTCTTGTCCCATAAGGTTGTAAGACCCTCACTCCAGCGAGGTCCTGCCCCATACCTGGGAGGAGGAAATGCTACAACAGAAAGGCCAAGAAGGATCTGAACAGACAGTACTTAATGGTTTTCCCCTCAGTCTAT